AGAGAGAGAGAGAGAGAGAGAGAGAGAGAGAGAGAGAGAGAGAGAGAGAGAGAGAGAGAGAGAGAGAGAGAGAGAGAGAGATAGCACCCTCATATGCTAAATCGTTAAGCTAACTCATTAAACTTACTACTAATAAAGCTCATTATCATCGTCCATCTAGGTGCTTACAATAGAGAGACTGCGAAGTGTGGAACTGTCATTATCGAATTCCGGCACACCGAGAAGTGACAGGAAAGCACCCTCTATCTCATCCGAAGAATCTGGTAAGAGATTTCTAATGCAAACATCATTGTCTGTATGGAATTTTTTACATTTACCGATCACACAGTTGCTACTGTTAGATCGTAAGGCATTTATTTTGGAGTCGGCATCAGCATGACATAAAATTTGTATGGTGATATCGTCACTTGCATCAGATTTCAGTAGTAATCGTGGACTGCTACCCAGGAGAAACAGTAAGGAAGAGAAATCTCCTCACATTGCATTCGGCTCTAAGTTCACTGCTCCTGAGGTCATACCACCGAAAAGGAAAGCGCTGTCGGCGCCCGTGAGAAATGTGAGCAGCTAGGGGCAATCCTCACAGCAGGTTCAGCATGCACTGAGCAGTGCTCTGTCCTCAAATAAGTTAGCACTCTATGTTAAGTGTACATCTATGTTCTTGCTAAACGGACGGTCATCGTAATGTACATTTTAATTCCGTCGCCCGACAGTAGTCGATTTCATGTGATGGACGTAAATTGTGCGTTGCCGTCTGTCGTGGACAATACGCAATATAGGTGTGAGCTGAGACTTCCTCTCTAAGCGTGCCTTAATTCTCGTTAACCTGGTGTTACAGGTGTCGCAGCGAGGAGGCTCCGCCGGCAGGACGAGACTCGCACCTCTCCGAGCTTTTCCTAATCCACCGAGTTCCTCTAACGGCGCAACAGGTGAGGTTTGCTGGGGGAGAAACAAAAACTAAACGGATTCTTAGCATTTAATTTGATGTCGCAGGGCGACTTAAAATTCACTCTTGCGTTCCCAGGGTATTTATTCTCAGCAGATGAATTCCAAAAAATACTACCATCGCACAAATACTATAGTAGATACGATGCAGGGAATGAGAAACCCCTACAACCGGCGCTATCTGTGCATCTCTTCCGTAAATCTAAAATGCTAGTTCCATCGACATAATGCCAATTGTTTACAGCCGTGCCAAAGCCACCCACTGAGAGGCAGCAACATCCAACTTCTGCTGAGATCCGTAAACGACGCTTCCGTGTTGGCAGCGCTGGTAGCGGTAGCGGTAGCGGTATCGGTGGCGCCGGTCACAACCTTCCTGCAGTGCCAGGTGAGTTTCACACTAATGCAGAAAACTGGCCAAACTATCGGCGCAATGACCAGTACAGACTGTCAATTCAAAACAACAGCAAAATGAAACCTGCACAAATATGTGTCTATAGTTTCCAGGTGTCATTGTGTGTATACACAAGCCAGGTAACCATGTGCTGCATTTGACATACAGGCGTACCAAAGGCACAGAGTGAGGGAAACATTGCCAAAGAAAAGAAGAGGACGTCTAAGCCAAGACTAACAGAGCAACACTTACCTAGTATGTAACATGCTATGTTTTCTCATCATGGTTTTAAATAACATTGAAACATCCTTCCGACTAATCAATAAGCACTTGTTTTTAATTGCATTCTTCGTCTTGTATATTGTCTTTCTCGTTGCCTAGGTAACGTAATGACAAACAGTAAAGGCGAGCAAGCAGCGTCAGCAGCCAATGAAGCGGACGAGTCTCTCTGTGATGTCATCAACATTCTAGCCAATCATGCCGCATCGCTGCGGCTGCCAAGCAGTGACGATCCCGAACAACTGGAATACCATGACTCTGAGGATGAAGCAGCTGTTGGAAGGTTTGTTGTTTGTTGTTTATTGTTTGTTGTTTGTTGTCGGGTTGTTGGTCTGTCATCATGGAACATGGTAGTTGTAGAGCGAACACTGTAACTTGCCTCTTGTTGAGAATGTGGATGCATGCAGTAAACTTACCTCTCACCAGTGGAACAATGTTAGTAGACGAAAGACAGAGATAGCAAATATATAAAATATCTATATAGAGAGAGAGAGAGAGAGCGAGAGAGAGAGAGAGAGTGAGATAGAGAGAGAGAGAGAGCGCGAGAGAGAGTGAGTGAGAGAGGGAGAGAGCGAGAGAGGGAGAGAGAGCGAGAGAGGGAGAGAGAGAGCCAAGACAATCAGCGCTGACGTCACATGGCGCCAAACACATCGAAAACGACGAGTGGCGAGAAATGGAAAAGTCGTTGATCAGCAAACCAGCAGAAGCCGCTAGTATGACGTCGGCATCCCGACGTTTCACCGCAGCACACGCACACGCACACACACACACACACACACACACACACACACACACACACACACA